GTAACAATTATCCTTTAATACTTTAGCGTAATATTGTTTCTTACATCTCCTCAATATCGCAATTAATTTGTTCTTATATAACTTATATTTTTCTTCCGTCTTCTTTGATCTGTACTTTATGAATTCCTTATATAACACATTCTTCTTTTTACATGCATTCTGTAATCCCTTACTCATCCACGATTTCCCACTGCAATTCCTCTTGTTTTTATACTGCTTACGAGGACAGTTCCTGTCATATACTTTCATGAATATATTTAAAAATTGCTCATATGCTTTGTCTAAGTCTTCCTCTTTGTAAACTGCTTCCCAGTCTTGCCCCATAAAGTCCTCTTTTAGCCTCCTTACAACATGTTCGTTCATCACCCTCCTATAAAAAAGATTTGTTTTTGGCCTTTCTTTTCTATACTGGCAGTCATAAACCAAAAATACAGGTAAATGTTGGTAAAAACGTAATTTTCAGTTTCAGGTCAATATTCAGTTTAAAAAAAACACCACCAGCACAGATGTGTCTGACCATTAACATTTACGATGCACAGGTTTTAACATTCACTAACAGAAGTAGACTTTTTTCTGTGTTCATATTGATATTAATACTTTTGTGCATTTGTTGTGCAGTTCACCTCTTGTTTTTTGTTTATTAGCTTTAAAGGTCCTTTGTTTTTCGGTTTATTTTTTAGAAATCATCATGCTAAAGTGACATTTGTGCATTGTGTGACTAACACAGAAGATCTGATTAGATGATAGCTCCTGCTTTGTGTTGAGAGGATAGTGTGGTTAAACTGCTGTCTGCCATTTCAGTCAAACACATGTTGACCAAAGCCATATTATCTGTGATCTACCGTTTCTATAGCTACTCTACACTGTCTGTTACTTCGTGCAGTATCACTCTGGGCAGTGAAAACACTTATGAAAAGATAACTACCCTCAGAGTTTTTCGAGAGGTCGAGCGTGGCACTAAAAAGTTTGTGGCTAAAATGTAACTTCCTGCTGTTGCAAAAAAAAAAAAGGGAATTTTTCTTGAGCTCATAATTGTAGTTTCTTTAACTAATAGATTAAAGGTCTGTGCAGATTTTCAGTCATCCAGGTCATAGTAAACTGAAAAAAACTTAGAAAAAAATCAACTGGATTTAGATTTCTAGATCAAAAACGTTTCACCTCTCATCCAAGAGGCTTCATCAGTTCTGACTGATTGGTGTTGAGCTGGAGATATTTATCCCCCTCTGTGGTGTTTTTTCAATAGATTAAAAGGCAATTATATACATTCTTAACAACTATAAGATATTTATAAAAACAACCTTTTGGGCTGCCAGGTTCTGAAAAATCTGGCTGCAGAGTCTTTCATTGAGAAGACATTAATAAAAGGTCATGAATTTCCTATAAACACATCAGGAACAGTATATGGTATGTTAATAAGTCATTAAGAAATGTTACATTACTACAATCTATTTTGTTTTTATTAGAAATGTTTAGGATGCTGTTGCATTTTTTTGAAAGTTCATTTCGTTTCCAGAAAGACAGAGGTTAAACAACATATTAAAGGAACATTCCTAGTGAACTGTGAGACTACAAAGAACAGTAAAGTGACCTTCTAGAGGAGAATAAACAGTATTCCTCACAACCAGAAAACGCAAAACCTGCTTATTTATGGCCTATAACTAATTTGTTAAATAATTAATTGACCAGTTATAAAGCCATTAGTTACAAATCACAACTTTTTTTTATAAAGGGTGTCTTGTTAGTATTATTCCCATAGAGGTTATTAAGTAAAGAGCATGTTTAGTCTTTTATTAAAAGGCAAACTTTTATTCCTGATTTTACTAATCTTTTAATTATATGTGCCTTTTTACATATAGCTCTATTTAACTAGTTGTTTACTTTATATTTTCTCTCTAATTCATTTTATACCTCTGTGTGAGGTGCTTTGCTATATAAATAAGCATTATCATTGTTGTAATTTGAGTATGTGTATGCTTGTTACACATAGCGTACACAAGTATGCTGTATTTTATATGTTTATCACTTGGATTATTGTATTTGAAAGGAAACATAAAAGTATGTTTGGGGAAAACAAAAGAGTGAAGATGTGCTTTCATTTCACTGACAGTACAGAATCATAAGAGATAAGCCTGTGGTTTAACACGTCTCAGAGACTAGGTAGCAGTGACAGTGTCCAACCCACTGCACTAAACCACAGGTCAAGAGGAAGTGCTCTGTTTGATGATACAATCGCATGTTTTTTAGCAGAAACTGCAAATGTAATAAAACTGGCCATATTCAGCTCCTTATCTTAGCATCACTTGGACCACTTAAGTATCGGTTCACTAGTCAAAAAAGAAGGTGCAGAGCCTAACGACCAAATGTGTATGAAATCAGCAACCCTCATATGACTATGACCTTACAAAGGAAAAACAGAAACACAGCAGCTTCCTCTTTACCAAGTGGACTCTGTCCTGTCCTTGTGACACCGTCGTGCGTTGACAAACCCTCACACCACTGTCTGCGCTGCCTGTGGACAGCTCTTCATCTGTGAGCCCTCCCACCTCTGGCTGTCTTGTTTATGGGTGCAACAGCACAGCCATTTGAATGAAAAGGACAAGTGTCAGCACCTGCCTCATATTTTCTCCTCGACCAGTAATCAACATAAAGAAAATGTCTGATGCTCTTTGTATCGGAAGTTCATTATTTGGTGAGTGGTGTGGTTTGTGTGCTTCGACAGTGTAATGATTGATGGCTCATGTAAATGAGCGTAGGCACTGTCTCAGCTGTTGTTTTAACTCTGTCTTTCAGGATCTGCAGGAGAACAACAAGGTATCTAGTTTTCTTAAAAATGTTTCTCCTTTGGGAAATGAAGTTGTGTGTTTTGGCTTTGTTTTCACTCCTGTGTCTTCACTCTTTCACAGATTGTGGTTCATGCTACCTAATAAACATGGGCTCTGTAATGGCCATTATTGCATCTGATATTATCTTGACCATCTTCATCACTATTTCTGTCTTCTGCTTTGCAAGACATCACAAAAGAAGGAGGGAATGGGATTCTCATGATGGTGAGCTCTAAATGCTTGTATATTGCTGCTGATTAGTGTTTGTGCTGGGTTATGATATGACAGCTGGGCAGTAAATTCACTTGTACATTCTTAATTAAACAGCTAGAAGAAACCAGCCGTCATCAATATCAAAGAAAATGGCAACAGAGGTCACAGAGTCTCCCTACCAGGTAAAGGTGAACTATATTACTATTTAAGCCACAAAGACACTAAATATGGAAATTGTTATTTGGGGTTTTAACAATTAATTATTTGTGAATCCATATGATGAACTGCTTTTACTGTTTTGTAGGAGTTACATGGAGCCCAGTCAGATGTGTACAGTGAGCTTCGACATTTTAGGAAGTGAAACAGAGGAACTGTAAAATCCCAGCAATACCTGGTCTGTAATTAGTTTCACAAGCTATAACCAGAAAGTAGCACACACACACATCTTGTTTTGTTACTTATGTTTCTGCAGCATTATAATATGTGTATTCAGCATGTAATTGATTTATATCCCATCCACTTATAACTGTGTTGTGCTGAATGTGATGTTTGCTGCATCACGCCCTCTAGTTTATTTTGTAAATCTTAAGCTGTCTTAAAATGTGTATTTAATTCTAAATTAAACTACTTTTTAAAATCAAGAAAATGATGCACTCATTACATATTTTTCTTTTTGTATTTTTATTTCAGGTGATTTTGTACACACATTTTTACATTATAACAAATGTTTAAAAAAAACCCTAATATCCTCGTTTTCACAAGTAAAATAAACACAAAATTGTCAAAATCTTTTTCTATAAAGTGTTTCTTCACATGGTCTCAATAATAAAGAATGTGTGTAAAAATCTAAATCAGGATCAAAAAGTCCCAGAAGCAACTGGAAGACGCCTGCCTGCTATGAGTCAACAGATGGCAGCCCCTGACTCATTGTGAGGAAGAAACAGAATCTGAAAAGGGAAAAAAATATATATTATTCAATATTACATGCATAACAAATGAATAACTTATTATATTATTTAATAACCAAGATCGAGAAAACCATTTCATCCTATTAGAATGAGATGAGGATGAAATGTAAGGAATTTAAATATGTGGATTCTGGAGTTGTTTTGTAGGCCACGTTGGGTGGATAGTGATATGAACACAAAAAAATTGCCTGTCTCAAATGCAAAGGAAACAGACCTTCTGTGATCCTCAAGCAGCTCCGCTCTTGGCTGGAAAAGACGAGCTACTGCGTGCTATAAGAAAAGGGATTACATGAAATGACAGATCTTTTAGGAAAGTAGTGACTGCATGCATTCTAATCAAACTTCTGATTTACAATGTTCACAAGTGGAAGAAAAAACAGTTATTACCTATTGGATAAGTTTCAGAGCTGACAAATTCTCTGGTTTCTGTTTGAATATTAAGATCAGTTGTTCAGCCATTTATTGGTCAGTGGATTATTCTTGGAAATGTTTGTTTTATGTAATGTAGAATCTGATCATACCATCACAGTCTGCGTGTCCTCCATTGCCCACTGGAGCAGGTCTGCCATTGTTTTCCTCCAAACTGTGCCAATCCGGCAGTTCTCTGTTCTCACCTTGGGTCAGAAACTCACCAACTCTTCCTGCCTTTCTTAAGTGAATGATTTGTTTTCCTGACAAATTTTCCACTTCCTGAGCATCCACCGTCATTCCTTCCTCACTGTGAACATCAGGCTGCTCTCTGCTCCATTGGTCCTGATCCAGACTTTTGCTTGTATCCACTGGCCCCGTGCTGTCCTTGTCCACTCCTGCTATACTCCTTGATGGTGCCTTATCTTTCTCCAGCAGTTTAGGAATCATGATTTCATGACTTTCAAGATCTTTGACTGCATCCAGGAAGAGTAAAAGTTATTGCTTCAACACGCATGCACTGTTAAAGACACTGTAATCACTACAAGTTATATCTTAGATTCTGGGGCGTTGTACCTCTGCTTTCACCTTCAGTTTTATCAGATACTTCAGGTCCTCAAATATAAACAAGGGTTTTTATTGTATATTTATATGAAATGAAACATTTTTCTTTGCCCACATACCTGTAAATCCATTGTTTTCAGAACTCTCTGTAGATTTTGCCTCTGACATATCTGTGAATGAGTTTTCTTAGAATGAAATCCTACTAATGACAGTCACAGCTGTTATTTTGGTGTGTGCCATGTGCAGTCGCAAACCGTATGATAACATGGAAAGTAAAGTGGTGACTTAGTTATTAATAAATACATAGATAGCCACTGTACCTGAGTCCTTTGTTGTCTCAGGCTTACCTGGAGGATATTCTGCAGTCAGTAAAAAATACAGCATATAGTGTAATTATGTCAAACATTCTTCTTAGATTAAGGTAAACAGTAAAGAAAAGAATACCACATTTCTCTATAGGTTTTTGTGACCTGGTCTTTGAATCTCCTGTTTTTATATTCTTGGGTAACCAACAGCACTCTGTGGATCTGGTGAGATGAGCTGTCACTATGAGATATAATAGGACCTTCCTGTTTTAAAACTGAATATATCTCAGCACATTTGATGGCTCCATTTTGAATCACATGCCTGTAATATTTACAGGTTTGGTCTTTTCAGTAGGTGTGCCAAATGCACACATGACAACAGTAATGCAAAATCACAATAGAGTTTCACAATGGTAATATAAACAATAATTCTTCTGATTTCAAACAGCAGTATGAGGAAAACATTATAAATACATCCATGTAAATATGACCAATTAAAGCTCACCAGTTAGGAGGCTTAACACATTTTCTCTTTGGGCTTGAAAAGAAAGGAACAAAGAAAAAAAGAACAAGCGTTATTCCCATCCTATTTAATTGATCTTAAATGTGCATTACAACAGATGAGTAAGCGCCCAACAACATCTGATTATCTTTCCTCTCTTCATAATGGTGTACCTTTGATTGAGGCTGTTACAACCACAGTTGCAAACAGAAGAATCATATGAGAACACATGAAGCTGAAACAAACAAAATCTCATTTTATTCAGGGTTTTAGGCAGAAATGCATGTTTATATCAAATGTCACTGCATTATGCCATTACAAGTTGTTAAATAAAATACTTTTAAATAACATTATCAAAAAGGCAAATTTCTGAACAACAAAATATCAAAACTTACAGCTTCATTGTTGGCTTCGGTTCCTAGCTATGTCCGCTGTTTGGCAGCAAGAGTGCTGTTAGGTTTTTATGTACTGCCACTTTGTCCTGCTTTTAAACCTTCAGTAGGTCTTGCCCTGGTTAATTATAGATTCTGAAAAGCAGTATCAAATTGAGTTTAAGTCAAACACTATTTCTTTGTGTTCAACAGTGCATGACTTGCAGGCAAAGAAGCAACAATTAAGCTACAGATCCTGATACGTTTACAAAGGCCCATTCATTATATCAATTCAACATGAAAACAAATGTTCTCAACAAGATTCAGACTCACAAAAAGGATTAGTATTTCAGGTAGCTGATTACTTCAGGAAATGCCCCTGGCTTTTCGCTGTGACTGAGGTAGCCTTTTAAAAGATGCCACAGACCATGTTTTGTTTCACTATTTCACCATTGTCCACATTTACACAGTGTAGCCCTATATTTTTCTAAAACAAAGACCTTTTAAAAACTCCCGAGATTAAAGTGTTCTTAAAAGAGCACAAAATGTATGGACAAAGTTACAAAAAGCAGAGTTGTGAAATAATATGCAGTCTACTGTCCCACTATATGTGTGAAGGCTGAAGCGGAAGGACTGTTATTTTAGGTTTGTAGAGTCAGAGAATGAATGTGTTTATTTGCCCTACACAGTGGTCAAAAGGAAAATTGGGCTTCCAGTGGAAATGAACAGTGAGTGGGGTAGGTTTTATATAGGCTAAGTGATCATTCTCTTTTAAAATAACAATAACAACACAAAACAAAACATAACAAAAAAAAATACAGGTGCGTCTGCGTCTGAGTAGCCTACGCATAAAGACATGGAAATGAAAGTTTCTGCTTCCATCGGACTAATGGGTGTCTTCAATCTCCCACAGGAAAAAGAAAAACGAGAGCGCCCTCTGCAGGAAAGTCTGTTCGCACTAAGCTCTTGATCCTAAGCATCGCCATATTGACGTTCCAGCAACGCTGAGAGGTAATCGTGTTATTTAAGCACAAATCATTGTAGGTTTGGAACTATCATAGAGTGTTTTTACATCTTGGGAAAAGCTGGGAACACGAAACGCATCCTCGGTGCCATTCTGCTGCTCGATTACAGTGTTTGTAGGGTGTTTTTCAAGGCGTTGTCAGCCAGCTGCCTCGCCAGCAGCAGGCTATTCACTCCCCTAGCCTGTTATCTTAGCACTTTTTAGCCCTTGGAAATATATTTTTCGAAGTTTGTTATTTAGTTCTACATTATTGATGGCCACTAGGATAATGATTTGACTATTTTAGCACGGACTGTTTATTTCAGTCACACACAATGTAGTCGAGAGCTGGCGTTAGTTATGACTTTCTAGCCGGCTTTTCCCTCTACTGTTGACGAGCTAATGCTAACTAGCTAGCAGCCCAGCCAGCTGCCGGGCTTGCCTGGTAGCTAACTAGCTGTTAGCTCCACTGTACTTGTGCAGGCCTTGGGCCACAGAGGTTTTATGTGAACATACAGCTTTTAATGTTAAGTATTAAGCGCATAACCTGGCTATAACTGATCGAGTGTCTTGTACCAAATTGACCATTTGTCGACTGGCTTCTTCCCATTTACACGTTAATTTATCGCAGGCTTACTGGCTGTATTGGCTGGCGTGTCTTTCTCACATACCGAAGTTTGTTCGATTGTTTGACAGATTGATTTTAATCATTCTACTTTCTGCCCCCTTTCCCCAACAGGAGATACTGCTTTGGTGTAGTCCCCAGTGATGACTGTATTGAACCCTGTACCTCCTGATTAGACTGGTTGGATGCCCCAATTTAACATTCAGGTTTCTCCATTTCATATGTTGCACTAGATAAAAATGTTCAAATTAAAATGTCTGCTAAGCCTGTATTCACATTTCTCAGTTCTTCATATGGTGCTGAACAATTGCAATGGGCAGACTGTAGTAATCTCTCTTGCTCTCTCTCTCTCTCTCTCTCTCTCTCTCTCTCTCTTTCTTTAAATATATCTGTATGCCCATGTAGCTTTCTAACCATAAAGGCATTTCAAGTGCTCCTGTTCTAAATCATCAGTCACCACCATCCTGGAGGGAACCTCCCAGGTACTGTGGTGTTTTATATTTAATTGATTACCCTGTGTCATCTATATTTACTGTAAGGATGTTCTGCCAGTGGTAACGTGGTAAATTTGTAATATTCCTGTCAGTACTGTGAATTTATGCTTCTGTTTTAAAGCTGTTGAAGTTGCATTAACTAACTTCTCCCTCTAATTTTCGACTTAAGGGCAAAGTGAAAGTCAAAACAAACTCAAGCAGTGTCCCCTCCTTTTCTCCCTCCACTCTTCTTTGCCCCTTTTGCCCTGTCTGTGAAACTAGGTCATATGTGGTCACGACAGCTGGAGACAGTTGTAGCACAGCAGTAATAACTGGCTCTGGAACTAATGTATACTAAATATAGAGTCCATGGCTTTTGTTGGCATTGTAGCAACAAAATGTCAAATAAAGAGGTT